ATATATACCCTTAAGAGACCCTAGAATCCCCTAAGGGCCCATGTTAGGGGCCCATGGGTTCAACCTTAGGGTCCCTAAACCCTAAACCCTAAACCCTAAAATTAGAGAACTGGAGGCCTCCAAGACCACCGTGATGTTGTTGAGAATCTTCCGCGCCAAGTTCATGCCTAGACCTGGGTGTTGGGGGTTTTTAGGGACAGGTGGCAGTTTAGGGTTTAGGGTTTAGGGTTTTTAGGGTTTAAGATTTAGGGTGGCAGTTGTCCAACATACATACGAAGGGTCCATCGGGCAGTTTATCGGGGATGAGACAGGTTTTGCATTAGTTGATGCGTTTCTTTTTGTAGTTGTTCAAAGCATCCCTCCCCAACCAACCACAAGGTGGGTTAATTTGCTTGGTCAGGGAGCATCTTCCTTTAAGGAAGGGTGTTCCCAATGGTCCTGCCGTTACTTAAAAAGACCTTTAGAGCCAACTTACAATTCCAAACAAGACGCTTGAAGCCTGTGCCGCTGCTGTACACTCTAGACCCCTTGCAGAACCAATTAGCCTAAACCCTAAATCCCTAAACCCTAAACCCTAAACCCCTAAACCCTAAACCCCTAAACCCTAAACCCTAAACCCCTAAACCCCGAAACCCTAAACCCTGAAAGATGACTTTCGAAGTACCCGAGGTCGCTCCTTTCAGTAGCCGCAGTGGCTGCACCGCGCCTGTCAGACCAGGTGGGGGTTATGGGTGGGTTTAGGGGTTCGGGGTTTAGGGTTTAGGGGTTTGGGGTTTAGGGTTTAGGGGTTGTGACCAGCCCCGAAACCCTAAAGCCAGTCAGGTAACCCTTCAAGAAACCCCTAAACCTCGAAGTTGCATTCACTTTGTACTGTAGATGATATAAATCCTGCATTACCTTATGGACCCTAAACTATGGGAATTATGGTATATTCCTTTTATTATGGGTAATGCAGGATTTCTATCATCAACCGTATCACCCTAGAGGGCCCAAAGAAACTTGGGGAAAGCCTTCATCTTCCCGGATCCGGCTTCTTGAATCGGCTCTTCAAGGGATAGGGGTGGGGTTTGGGGTCTAGGGTTTAGAGACTTCACCGGGTAGTGTCGAGGTCTAGGGTCTTTTTTTGGTGACATGGTTTAGGGATTTTTGATTTGTTCGGCCTCTGCTTTTTTCAGCATTCTGCGTCACCATTTCGATGCTCACTTGACTGTTACAGGGAGCCGAACTTGCCCTGAGCAGAGCCTTCTCCTTAGGGTTTAGGGTTTGGGTTTTCGGATGTAGGGCTTACAGATGGTTTGGCGCAATATCAAGGTGAGATGTGCCGGGCAATCGTCTACGCGGCTTCTGCGAATCTTGGACTTGTTCTGTAGACGGCTTAGTCCTGAAGATCATTAATTAAAGCCCAGGGGTTTAGGGCTTGGGGTTTAGAGTTTAGGGTATATAAGCTCCAACATCACCTCTCGCAATCCTAGTAGGTTTAAAGGAGCCCTATCTAGGCCCATATCCCTAAGGGTCCCATGGACCCAAATTGACCCCAAAGTACCCAAATAGGGACTACTTTAAGGCCAAAGTATCTACTACTTGGGTACATGGACCCTCGGGGTATATGGGACTTTCCGAAAATTAGGGTACCTTATTTTGGGGTCCTCTTGACAAGGATCCTACTATTTAGGGTACTATATTAGGGTCCCCTATTTTCGGAAACCCCCATACCCAAAGTACCCAAATATGGACTACTTTAAGGCCAAAGTATATACCCTAAACCCTTAAACCCTAAACCCTTATATACTATGTGGTACATCCCTAAACCCTAAACCCTGGACCCCTAAACCCTAAACCCTAACCCTCATATCTTTTGAGTCCCTGCGAAGCCCCAGGTTGGATCAGTTTCGTTGCGCGTCCACTGGCCTCGACGTTGCCTGCAGCGATTGGCTGCGCTTGAAGGAGACGGTCGAGGTGCCAGGGTGCCTCTATAAACCCTAGCTTATTTGGGGGGGGTTTAGGGTTTAGGGTTTCGGGTTTAGGGTTTAGGGTTTAGGGCTTAAGGTTTCTATAAGCCCGACCTTAACCCCAAATAACCTACCATTTTCAGGACTTCTATAAGGAATTCATGATAAGGAACTCTACTTAGGTTGGTTCGTTAGGGTCCCGGTATGTAAATCCTAAAACCCTACAGATTTAGAGCTTGGGGCTTTGGGGTTTTAGGCTCGGGGGCTTCGGGTCCAAAGTTTTAGGGATTTGGGGTATCCTACAGGGAGTCCCAAAGTTGTTAGTGCCTTCGATATGGAGTTTCCCGAAGACTCCAAGTATAAAAATACTGCCTACTTTGGGGCCTAAGGTCTATAAATGCTACTTTGGGCTATTTGGAGTCTTAGGGTTTAGAGGGTCCCTAAATCCTAAACCCTAAACCCTGCAAGTGACGAACAAGGCCCTCAAAAAAAAAAACTAAACCCTAAAGTCTCATACATGCGCCAACCTTGGGTTTCCAATTTGCTACGGTCGAGATGCGGATGTCTAGGCTGCTCAGTAGCATGCTTTGTTTACTTCTGGGGATTCCTGGGTTCCTAGTATATTACAACTAACCTTAAAGCCGTAGTTTTTTTTTTCAGGGGCTTACTGAAGAGTCCCCAGATTTGGGGGTCTTAGAAGGTACCGTTTATGGGAGCTCATGATCCGTAGCCGTGGATGTGTAATGTGGGGGCCTAAATAATTTGCAATACTATTTTTGGGTGGTTCCTTATTCCAATTATAGTAGAATGGGCCCCCAAAGCCCGATTCCAATTATTAACGCCCCTATATTAGATGGATTTAGGCTATGCTGCAGGGTAGCCCTAAACCCTAAACCCTATAAACCCTAAACCCAACCCTAAACCCTTAAACCGGGGTTGTGGTCTGGGTAGGGTTCGGGGTCGGCTAAACGGGCTTGCGAAGAACTCCAGGGTTTAGGGTTTAGGGATTCAGGACATGGTTCCCTATGCTTTGGGCTTGTGACTATAGAAGGTCTGGAGCTACAGGGTTTGAAGCTTATGGTTTTGGCCTTTAGTGGGTGAAGGGGTTTGGGTTAAATTGTAGGCAAGGTTGATAAGCTTTGGGCTTGGTCTTGCGGTAACCCCTAATAACTTATCTTGTGAAGGACTTGTGTAGGATTTCTAAGGCAGGGCTCAAAGTCTTTCGCAGTAGAGCTGCGAGGTGGGCAGTTACGGTTGTCTCGACAGGGCGGCTGGACTTAGCCTTGCTCCAAAAACACAAAGTGCACTCAAACCGAAAATCCTTCACCTGAAAACCCAAGCTCATGTAGTCTCTGGGCACCAGGTGATGTATGAGGCCGAGCTTGGCGGAACCGTCGTCGACTTTTTGGCCTTTTTCCTGGGCCTGGCGATCAGCTTCAGCATCCACAAAATGTCCAACTTCTACGGCTCCCTGTATTATAAGGTTTTAGAAGTGCTTTCCATAGGAGTTTTAACACATGTGTACGCGGTGTCATTTCTTTTATTTTCTCTGCCTGAATAGCGAGTGACATATGGTGCCTGTTTGAGGACTCAGAGCGTGTTACCAGGGTTCTATGAAGATTTAGACGGTCTTCGCCTTTGTCCCTTGAGGATCTTTTTCCGGGTTCTACAATTCAGGCACCCTGGTCCTAGCTAGAACCCCAAGATAGTAGGATTCATACAAGAAACCCTAATAAACTGCAGGGTGTCTTAATCAGGTTCCTTTTTTAGGGGTTCTGCAAGGTGAAAGAGGCCAGCCTTTCTGGTGTCTTTGATGCGGCTTTAGGCTTTGAGGCTGTGTCAGGCTCCTTGCCACAGACCGTGCCTGAACCCTAAACCTTACATTTAAGCCTAAACTCTAGACCCTAACCTTACATTAAACCCTAAGCCCTAAACCTTAAATTAGCCCTAAACCTTACATGAAACCCTGAACCCTAAACTCTGAGCCCTGTTCGCCAGGCACAAGATTTAGGTCAGTTAGTGACGTTTCTCTCTGACAGGATTTTGGTCGAAACTGGCATCTCTAAACACCCAAACCCTACAAAATGGTAGGTTATGTACAGACTCATAGGGCTTTGACTTTGGGGGCTCAGGGTTTAGGGTTTAGGGGTTTAGGGTTTGGGGGGGTATGACAGGCTCTCCAGGTTACCTAGTAGCTGAATGGCTGCACCTTTTTTAAGCTGTTTGGGATAATATAATCCCCGATAGAACTGAAAGCGTGCGGTTTTTTGGGGGGCTTTTTGGGATAATTATTATCCCTTATAAAACTGAGAGAGTACACTTTTTGGGGGGCTTATGAACACAGAAGCTAAGGTACCCTAAACCCTAAACCCTAACCCCTAACCCCCAAACCCCTAAACCCCTAAACACCCGAAGCCCTAAACCCTGAACCCAGAAGCTGAGGTTATCGTCGCTTTGCGCTGCTTGCTCTGGTCGTGAGCTTTCTCGCCGACCTGACGCTCGAAGCGATCTTGTCATCCTCCGTGTCCCTTGAAGAGCCAAAGAAGCCCTTAAGGGGAAGGGGTTTAGGGTTTTGGGTTTAGTGTTTAGGGTTTAGGATTTAGGATTTAGGGTTTAAGTGTTACTTTAAGGGTTCCTTTTAAGGGGTCCCTTTAAGGGGTTCCTTTAAGGGGTTGCTTTGAGGGGTTCCTTTTAAGGCGTTCCTTAAAGGAGTTCCTTTAAGGGTTCCTTTCAAGGGTTCCTTTAAGGGGTTCGTTTTGTTCCTGTTTTAAGGGTTCTTTTGGGGCCTGATAGGGGCCTTCATAATTAGGATAGGGCTATGGCGATGGTGGTCTATGCCATCATAAACACGACTATACCCTGAACCCTAAACCCTAAACCCTAGCCCTAAACCCTTGAAAACCCTAAGCCCCTAAACCCTATACCCTAAACCCTAAACACGACTATACTGATAACTGAGAACTAGTGGTACGGAACCCTACTTGCCGGCCCAAAAACACAGAGGCTCCAGGCGGCAGTCGGTACTTAAGCCTTTTACAGGGTTTAGGGTTTAGGGTTCCTATACAGGTACTTTTGGGCGGAAGTATATACTATATAGGCCAAAACCCTAAACTCCAAAACCCAAAGTGTTTCACTCTGTGTGCTACTGGTGGCAGGCGGTCGGAAAGACATGTCAACACACATTCCCTACACCCGAAACCCTAAATCCAAAAGCCTAAACCCTAAACCCTAAACACCCTATACACCCTAAACACCCTAAACCCTAAACCATAAACCCTAAACTATACTATATGGGCCTAAACTCTAAACCCTAAAAGCCCGACCTGCTAAGGTCGGCGGCAGCCAGCGTGCTCGACCGATTCAAGGACTCCAGGGCCGTCTCCCCTCAGCTCTGAGGCTTTTTGCGGGTTTAGGGTTTTAGGGTTTAGGTGTTTAGGGTTTAGGGGTTTGGGTTTAGGGTTTAGGGCTTAGGGGGTTTAGGGTTTTGGGTTTAGGGTGTTGGTTTTAGGGTTTAAAGGTCTAGCTCTTATGGTTTGTGGGTTTTGGGTTTTGGGTTTAGGGTCTAGCAGGGCTCGCGCTCGAAGCCGCATCGCCCAAGTGGTTTGGTTTATCAGGGTTCAGGGCTTCGGGCTTCTTCGGGTTTGAGTTTTATCAGAGGTGAGGTTTGGGTTTAGGGCCCTAGACCCTGGGCCCTGAACCCTAAACAACCCTAAACCCCTAAACCCCTAAACCCTAAACCCTGAAGCCTAAACCTAAGGGTTTAGGGTTCAGGGTTCGGGGATCCGGTTCCCAGCGTTGTAAACTAGTGAACCGTAACATGTCGTAGGTCGTAGGTTATGGTCGGATTCTAGCTTCGGGTTGGGGGGTTCGTTGAGGGTTTAGGGTTGCCTGCGCCACGGGTTTGGAGTCTATGGCACATCATGTCGGTGCGCACAGGGTCTAGGGTTTAGGGTTTAGGATTTCGGGTTTAGGGTTTAGTCTATCGTACGCCTTCATGTCGGAGCGCATAGGGCTTAGGGTTTAGGGTTTAGGGTTTGGTCTATCGTACAGCTTCATGTCGGAGCGCAGAGGGGGACAGCAGCATCGTGTTGATTGTTTCGGACCCTGGATCCTTCGGTGCTTAGCCGTAAACGGTTTAGGGTTCAGGTTTTAGGGTTTGGGGTTTAGGGCAACCGCTATAGTGACACCTATACCCTAAACTCCCTCCCCCTGAACCCCTAAACCCCTTAAACCCCCGAAACCCCTAAACGGCCCTAAACCCCCAAACCCCGGAACTAAACCCCTAACCTCTATAAACCCTAAACCCCTAAACCCTAAATAGTATCCCTTTTAGGAACACTGACAGTCCCCAGTGTTGGGTACCTTTTTAGGCTTCATGGTGGGTCCCATTTTTGTGGATTAGGTAAGCCCGAGCCCCAAAAAGGGAGCTACAATGGAGACTATAGGTTTAGGACTTAGGGTTTAGGGTTTAGGTATACCTACTTTTTTTTCAAGATAAGCGCATGAAGGATTGCGCTTCCCAAGAGACGAATGGCGACAGCTCGTCTCCTGGATCTGTTAGAATTCGAGCCACCGCACTCGTTTACTAGGTTGCCCAGTAGAACCCTTTTGCCCTGTTTGTTGTTTTTGCGTTCCCTGATTAAAACCGAATAGTAGGGAAAAGGGTACCCTTATTATTAAGGGGCTACTGGGGAACTTAGTTGACGGGACGTGAGAAGGAAGTATAGAAAGAGAGTTGAAGGCCCTAAACCCTAAACCCTTAGGGTCTTGAGGCCGGGGCTTTCGAGTTTGAGGTTTATAGGTGTAAGGGTAGTAGGGAGTGTTTCAAGACTCCAGGGTTTATGGGTTTAGGGTTTAGGGAGTGTTTCCTGTTTCTTAGCAGGGATTAAAAGGGAGAAACATGCAAACATTTTCAATCAAATGCGTGCCTAAACCCTAAACCCTAAACTACCCGAAGAGCTGCAAGGATTTGGACAAATGCAGAATACGCTCACGAAGCAGATAAAACTTTGCACCCGCACTCTGACAATGACTGCACCTCAAACCTCGATACCTGTTGAAACCCTACTCATCCACATAAGTCTGCTGAACGGCCGTAATTAGAATGAGCCGTAAGCACTGTAAACCCTGCCTGTAGCATTTTGGCAGACCATGTTGCAGGGTTTGGGGTGCCAGGCATGCCGTCGACTACACGGTTGAAGGTTTTAGGGCTTTAGGGTTTTAGGGTTTAGGGTTTTAGGGTTTAGGGTTTTGGGGTTTATTGTTTGATGTTTAGGGTTTAGGACCGTATACCCTCAGCCCTAGGTTCACAAAGATGAAGGGCACGGCCGACTGGATTCGCGTACTCGCTTTCGCAAATATCATCATCGCTTCAATCGGTCTCTGCGGTGACATTGCGGCAGCGGCGCTGGACTGGAGTCGAGATCCGGCTATCAAGGTGGGGCCTACAGGTTTATGTTCCGGGTGTTGGGGCTGAGAAGCCTAAATAACGACTGTTCCTTGATTATTATTTTATCTATACTACAATTCTAATTATTAAAAGCCCTGACATTACATTAGGCTATTATACTTTTTGCGCATGATTAAAGCCCGTACATTTCATTAAAGCCCTTACATTACATTAGGCTATACTATAATTCGGCTGATTAAAGCCCTTACACTGCATTAGGGGTTTCGGAGTTTAGGGATTGGGGCTCCTGCACTTTAAGCCTTGAACCGATATCCCTCAGAAAGCCACTGCGGCTCCTGAACTGCGGGAGCCAAGCCCCAGAGGGCTACGGTCCCAGCTCCCTTTAGGGTTTAGGGTTTAGGGTTAGGGTTTTGGGTTTAGGGTTCAGGGTATTTAAGTCCCAAACCCCTATTAAACCCTACAGGCCTAGAGGTCGGTGGCCAGAAATCCCGAGCCGTACACCCTTTCACTTGTGTATCCTAGCAGCATTCACCCGTAAGCTTTCCTGCAATCCCTAAGGGTCCATGTAGCCAAATAGATATACATAGGCCCCAAAGTACCCAAATAGGGACTACTTTAAGGCCAAAGTATATCCTTTTGGGTACATGGACCCTTAGGGAATGTATAGGGCCCCCAAGAGGCATCACATAATTTCTGTTGCTGGAATCGTGCAAGTACCATCAACAACCATGCCCCCAAGTAGGAATGTAGGGCCTGAAGAAGTAGCCAAGTTTCTCCTGTGGGCTCCTGATTACAAGTATACAAGACTGTACCCCGAAACCCTGTTCAAATTATTGAGGTCCCTGCGCTGCTTAACCACCTCGTCCCCATAAAGTACCGTGTCAGCGATACCGTACTATGATGTACACCAAGACTCCATGTTAGTTGTCTTCGACATGACCCTAAACCCTAAACCCTAGCTCGCGTGCCCCTACTTGGAGGCGCAGGTGACTTAGAAAGTGGGTTATAAGTAGAGTTATAAGTACCCTAAATGGAGTTACCCTGAATAGAACCCTACTTATAAAAGACTTACTAAGTCCCCTGGGCCTCCAAGTAATGAAGGCTGGACTTCTACTGGTAACCCACGGCGCCGGTGGCCTGGAAGCGGTCATTGGACTCTTCAGCTGGCGGCTCAACACCGAGCCGCTCATTGAAGAGATGCTTTGATGCAGAGAAGATCTTCCGTTAGGGTTTAGGGTTTTAGGGTTTAGGGTTTAGGCTCATTGAAGAGATGCTTTGATGCAGAGAAGAACCCAGAGACTCCAAAACCCCTTAATTAAGGAATATACCTTGAATCTTATTAGGCTTCATATTATAACTTAAGGGATATTCCTTAATCAAGGGGTTTGGAGTCTCTGGGAAGAACTTCCGTTAGCGGCTCCATATTCCTGCAGTATTGTGTGTACATTGGCCGCAAAGTCGCCAGCACTGCAGCAACATCGCCCTTTGCGTCCCTGCACAATTTTACCATTATGATCCCAAAGCCCGATTGTATTTGGTTTGTACTTGGTTACGGCCCGTACCGCTGAAGATGCACGGCACAAATGTACATTCCTGTATGTGTGTTTGTACGTATAAAAGTTATGTGTGTTTGTGTGTATATATATATACACACATAATATATACACAGATATATGTACAGATATGTATATCTTCGAATCTTTGTTGATTCTTGTTTACAGACACAGAGAGAGATACACAGAGAGAGAGAGAGAGAGAGAGAGAGAGACAGAGAGAGAGAGAGAGAGCAAAGTCAGGATCGAAAGAATATGCTACCTACTCTCGGAAACCTGTAAAGTGCCGATTGAAGGAGCCCCTTAAAAGGACCATCCGTCAAGCCTATACCCAGCTAAAACCCCCAGCGATCCCTGTGTTAAGGCTCCAAGGCTTCACCTGAGCCTTAAACCCCTACTAAAATACCGACCTAAGCATCCTTCCCGAAAGCCCAGGCCCTAGGCCCCACCTAGACCTCGAGCCCCCTACTGGGTAGTTCTCTAAACTAGGGTCCCTTTTTAGGCCACTGATATAGTACGGCACCCTTATAAAAAGGACCCCCAAAGGGCCCCTGTTTTTGAGAACTACCCAACTAATCGCTGAAAAGCCCTAAGTAGCCAATATTCAGGACCATGAGGGCTCTGTTAATGGACACTTCGGGGGTCCTGGGAACTCTACACCCTAAACTCCTGTTCGAAGGCCGTAGGCCAACGTCGTGCAGTCGAAAACACCCCTAAAACACAAAACAACTAAATCGTAAATCCTAAAGCCTAAGCCCTAAACCCCAAATCCTGAACCCTAACCCCAAATCCTGAAACCTAAACCCCAAATCCCAAACCCTAAACCCCAAATCCTGAACCCTAAACCCCTAATCCTAAATCCTAAACCCTAAATCCTCCCTAAATCCTAAACCCTAAATCCTAAACCCTAGACCCCTAAATCCTAAACCCTAAACCTTAAATCCTAACCCCAAGCCCTCTACATGCTAAACCCTAAATCCTAAACCCTAAATCCTAAAAAATGTCCTAAACCCTCAACCCTAAACTTTATAGATCCTAAAAAAGGCCCTTAAAAAAAAAAAGAAAAAGTCTATAAATCCTAAGCCCTAGAGGCTCCAAGCTGTGGAGATGGCGGCCTTGGGCCTGGAGGAGTTGGAGCGCGGACGGGGTAAGATGTGCTTCACCAGGCGGGAGCCCGGTTTAGGGTTTTAGAGGTTTAGGGTTTTAGGGTTTTAGGGTTTTAGGGTTTAGGGTTTTAGGGTTTTAGGGTTTTAGGGCGGCCTCAGCCCTAAGCCGTGTTGCGCGAGGCATCCCGACTTGCCCGGGCCTGAACTGGTCAGCATGGACTGGAGCAACCTTGGTCTGAACCCGGTTTAGGGTTTAGGGTTTAGGGTTTAGGGGTTTAGGGTTTAGGGTTTAGGGTTTAGGGGTTTAGGGTTTAGGGTTTAGGGTTTAGGGCCCAGAGACTCCAAAACCCTTTAATTAAGGAGTATACCTTAAATCATAATATTGAGGCCCCTGTTTTTTTTTTTAAGGCATATTCCTTATTTAAGGGGTACTGGCTCTTTGGGAAGTGCTTTGCCAGGGCTTTAGGGTTTAGGATTTAGGGTTTAGGGTTTAGGGCTTGGCAGGGCTTTAGTATAGGGGTCGGAATATTCCCTTGGTGGCGCGTATATAATCAGACCATAATGGGCCTCAAAGAAAGCCCTATCTGATTATCAAGTCATCCTAAACCCTGAACCCTGAAGCCCGGTCTGATTATCAAGTCACCTACATCAGAGGTGTTGTACTTTCAGTCAGCGCTTTGCGTTTGGAGTCCCTACTAACTAACTATCTATCTAGAATCCTTATTTGAGGGTTTAGGGTTGAGGGTACTAATTAAATAGGTTCCTTATTTAAGGGAGTCTGGGATCTTGGTCACTGGATTCGAATACCGTACTTCAATCCTTTTGCAGGTTTTGTTTTTGCTTTATATGAACCCAGACAGAGCGAATGTTTATAGTATACATGACTGCAAGACTGTAAGTGACCCTAAACCCTAAACCCTAAACCCAAAACCCTAAACCCCTCAGGTAATCCCATCATCTACATCCTGCTGCCCGGCGGCCTAACGCTCCTCTCTTTGTCCTTGGCACTCGTGCTTGCTTTTTGCGTGCCAAGATCGGCAAGGGAGGTGCTGGAGATGGAGTTGCTTACAGGCCGTCCCTAAACCCTATAATTATTGCCTTAATTAACTGCCCCCCCCAAAAAAAACTAAAAAAGTGACTCATTGTTACTGAAACATAACACCCCGAACGCCTAAACCCCAAACCCCTATCGACCCTAAGCACAGGCCGCGGCCAAGTGAGACCAGCTCCGGTGGTGGAGTTTGAGAAGCCCACTCCGCCTGGCAAGCCCCGACAGACAGAGGGCGTCGCGCCAAAGGGGCAAGCGCCGCCACCCCTGAACCCTGCGAAGACTGTGCCGGACAAGCCCCGACGGCCAGAGGCCGTCGCGCCAAAGGGGCAGGCGCCTCCACCCCTGAACCTTGCCAAGACTGTGCCTGACAAGCCCCGACAGCCAGAGGCCGTCGCGCCAAAGGGGCAAGCGCCGCCACCCCTGAACCTTGCCAAGACTGTGCCTGACAAGCCCCGACAGCCAGAGGCCGTCGCGCCAGCGGAGGAAGCGCCTCCACCCCTCAACCAGCCAGAGGCCGTCGCGCCAATGGGGGAAGCGCCTCCACCCCTCAACCAGCCAGAGGCCGTCGCGCCAACAGGGGAAGCGCCTCCACCCCTCAACCAGCCAGAGGCCGTCGCGCCAAAGGTGGAAGCACCTCCACCCCTGAACCCTGCCAGGACTGCTACTGATACTATGTAATTGGAGCCACAGGGAGGCCGAGGAATGCCGATGTCTGTTAGCGGCTTTGGGAGGGTCCTAAACCCTTCCTGCCTATGCTTCGCAGTGGCAGTGGCCTGCAAGACCTATGTCACTATTGTTGATAATATAAATCCTGCGTTACCCTAAGGACTCTAAACTCAGGGAATTATGTTATACCCTGTTTTGGGTAATGCAGGATTTCTATCATCAACCCTGTAGGCTTGTATATACTGTACCCTACACCCTAAACCCTAAATCCTAAAGCGTTACAGCTGAGTGATGAAAGGTTCCAAATGCCGAGCCAGGGCCACCAGGTTATTTTCAACTCCCCAGACCTTCCAAGATCTCTTATAATTATAGAATATACCTTATGGTTTAGGGTTCATGGTTTATGGTTTAGAGTTTAGGGCTTAGGGTTTAGGGTTATGGCAAGATCCTTTAGTTATAGAATACCTGTAACCGAAAAGACCTACCTTTTTAGGGCTCCTTATTATGGCTTCTATATATAGTTCCTTAAAAAGGTAGGGCTTTTCGGTTACAGAAGACCCAGAGACTTCAAAACCCCCTAATCAAGGAATATACCTTAAATTATAATAAGAACCCTAATAAGATTTAAGGTATATTCCTTCATTTATGGGGTTTTGGAGTCTCTGGGTACCTGTAACCGAAAAGACCTGCCTTTTAGGGTTCCTTTTCATGGCTTCTATATATATATATACATATATATATATATACATATATATATATGTATATATATATATAGTTCCTTAAAAAGGTAGGTCTTTTCGCTTACACGTATACCTTATAGCTTGTGGTAGGATCCCCATATCGTTTAGGGCATATTCCCTAAAAGGAAGGGATATTGGAAGGTTTGCGTGTCTTCCTCCGGCAAGCAAGACTGAGAGAAAGACCGACGAAATCGTAGCAGAGTTTAATTCGAAGGGACTGTTGAAAGCAGCTCCAGAACAGGCCACCGCATCCTCAGGCCAATCTTTCGGATGAGTTGCCCCAAACCCCTAAACCCTGAACCCCTAAACCCTACTGGTTTAGGGTCCCTCAGAGCACTAAAGCCATGTTGTGTCATCGCTTCACGCGTAAACGCTTAGATAAACAAGACCTGTAGATCTCTGATAAAGCCCTTAAAAAGAAACCCTTAAAGGGGCCCTGCAGATCCTTTGTAGAACCCTAAGCCCTGTAGATGCCTTATCGAACCTTAAATCCCAAGCCCTAAGCCCTGTAGACCCCTTACAGAACCCTAAGCTCTGTAGATCACCTATTTTTTATAGAACCCTAAACCCTGGACCCTATCACATGGGAATGCCTTACATGAACCCTTTAGTCTAACCCCAGACCGTAAACCCCTAAGGGCTTCTTTAAAGGAACCCATCCTTAAAGTGTGGGCTTAGGGCATAGAGTTTCGAGTTTAGGATTTTGGTTAGGGTTTAGGGTGTGGGTTTGTTGCGTAAAGGACACCTCCATGCAGCGTTTCGCGAAACCGTTATAGGAACCCTTGAGCCCAAAACTCCAAAACCCTCCAATGGTTCCCTAGCAAGGCCGTTGAAGAAACCTCAAAGAAGCTTTACAAGGAACCCATAACCCTAAACCCTAAAGCCTAAAGCCCTAAACCCTATAAGAAACCCATATAGGAGCCCTTGAGCATGCATGGGTGGCTGAAATCCAGGCCGACAGTACGTAGGTCTGCTGCTTTTCTTCCAGCAGAAGCTGCTGACTGAAGGTGCAAGCGCGCCCACCGAAGCAAAAAGGGCAAGGGGCACATTAAGAAGCAGAAATAGGGCGATAGCTAGAATAGGTTCAGGGGTGCTTCTATCATCATAAGAACAGGCTAGGGCCTCGAGGTACAATAGTTATTCCATAAATCCATAAGGAATATTAATAAAACCCTCAATGAATACGTTTGGTACTCATTAATTAAATAGTCCCAACTCCTAACCCTACACCCTAACCCCTCACAACCTAGAAACCAAAATCCCTAATCCCTACACTTTAAACCCTTAAACCGATAAGTTCCAAAACCTTAAACCTCCCAATTGTCTGGTTCAAGCCTTCCCTAAGGGTCCATGTATACGTAGATATACATAGGCCCCAAAGTACCCAAAAAGGGACTACTTTAAGGACAAAGTATATCCGTATAGTACCCTAAATAGTAGGATCCTTATTACAAGGACCCCAAAATAAGGTATCCCCTTCTTTTCGGAAAGTCCCATATAGTCCAAGCCTCCAAGCCTAAACCCTAAACCCTAAACCACCCTAAACCACCCAAAAAAAAAACCTAGGACCCTCTAATTTTCGGAAAGTCCCATATAGTCCAAGCCTCCAAAGCCCAGAATCTGAACCGCCGACCCTGAAGGCTGTCTATCTACCTTAAGGCTCTAAGGAACCTCCTAAACAGGGCTTTAGGGTTTAGGGTTTAGGGTTTAAGGCTCTAAGGAACCTCCCAAACAGGGCCCGGTACCTCCTAGTTAGGACCCTGGGTTCTCAATCTTCTTTCAGTTTTGAGGGCCCATGAGCCTTAGGGGGGAAAGGTAGCTACTGAAGAACCCCGCCCCAATTCCTTGCTATGTCCATGGGGTTTAGGGTTTACAGGGTCTAGGGTTTAGG